ATGTGGCACTTGGGGACATGGTTTAGTCTAGTCTACCCTTGATTGGTTTAGTGTGGGCTTAGTAGTGTAGGTTATTGGTTGGACTGGATGATCTTGGAGGTCTTTTCCAACCTAAACGATTCTATGATTCTATGATTCCATGTTGGGGTGATATGGGAGCTCTGGGGACAGTCCCAAGTCCTACCCCTGCATCCCTCTGCACTGACAAACCACTTGACTTGCAAAATCCATATATGGCAGCCAAAAGGGGAGGTTTTGCCTTGCAAGGTTGCAAGAGGAACCAGTTTGAGCTGGGTCATTTTGGTCACAGCTTATGGAGGACCCAACTACACACAGCTAATAAAATAGCAGAACTGCACAAAGACACCTTTAGTTAGGGTGTTGCCCCCGCCTCCCGCCGGACTGGTGCCCACAGCTTGCCTGGGGGCAGGATGCTCCAGCTGCGGTGTAGTGCCTGGCTTCGCAGTGGGCCAGTCCCCACCTTGGGAAAAAACAGTTTGCATTGTGATGGTTCTAAGCATTTTTTACATTTTTACCAAGGCACTAAGAAAATAAACAGGAAAGGGCTGCGGCCCGCTCAGATGAAATATTCAAAAGCAGCATCAGCTGAGGTGCTTCTTATAAGAACAAAGGTAGCCACGCAAATACTGCATCCCTCTTCTTGTTCAGATCATCAGTCATTAAAAGACGGACAGGACCGAGTTAGCATTGGTGGGGTTGGTGGCTGTTTTTCTGGTTTGTTCCCCTCTCTCACTGAAATTACCCTCCCTCCCCGCCACGAAACTGCGCTTGAGTCAGTACTGTGTTTCTGCTGTTCTGCTTACACGGATGCTCTAGCTGTGGTGATGCGGTTCTAGTTATTTTGGTTTTCAAATATCAATCAGTCCTAAAATAAGCCCTTAAACAATTTTATTTTACAGTTCCAAGCAATACTGCTGCTACATAAATGACATCCTGGGAGTTACATTTGAAGTGTAAAATGGTAAAATGAGATTACTGATAAAAACAGATTTTAAGGTGAAGCATAGTAATTGACTTTGGCTCGCTTATGGATGAAATATTATGTGATCAATAGATTATTATGGTTTGTAGTAGTTAAAGTTTCATGTCATAGAAATAATCTATGAACAGATTAGTAGAATATAGGGTTGCAAATCTCCTGTTACAGTAAACAATGCCTATTTGGCATTTTACAGACTGTGTAAACTCTGGCAATAAGAAAATACTGATTAGTGCAGACCTAGATGAGTAATTGATTTTAACAATTGATTTTTTTTTTTATTTTTATCATTTTGCATTAGCACCATACTGACAAAAAAAAATATGTGAAATAATACACTGACACGCTAGTTGCCATTCACATGGCTGATGAACAGCCAGGGCAGAGATCTGAGAAACAGGATTTGCAACACGGTCTTTTTTTTATCAGGCCCTCTCTAAAATGCTGCTTCTTACTCAAAAAATCCAGTGGTATACTTCATCTTTTCTCCCAGGACAGAGATTTGGCCACCATGCTAAAGCAACAAGATGTTTTAAAATTTTAATTAGAAATTAAAATAGCAACAGAAGAGCTGGCCAGGACTGTGACTTGGCAAATATGGCTGTGACTTGGGCAGCAGGCACAACTGCAGCAGGCTTTACCTTTGCACTTCAGAAGAGATGCTTCTCCATGGGTCACCCACTCAGGAGATGCCAGACCTGCTCTAGTCTTCCTACTTGGATTTTCTTTATGTAGTTGGCAAAAGCTACCTGATGATTTTTAACTTTAATTATTAACTGGTTTGGGGATGAGTTAAACTGCATTTGCCTGTAAGTCTCACCATTAAAAAACAACTAGCTGAGCCCTACTTTAAAGCTGCTGCTATTTTTATCTGAGAAATCAAGGGTGTCCCCACCTGTTGAGAGGCCACGTGAGCTGAGCACCATCACTGTGCTGCAGCGGGAGCTGCACACTTTGGAGGAGACCCACAAGTGCTGCCTGGCCCATGCATCCTGCCCCACAGCAGGGACACAGGCAACCCATTCGAGGTGAGACTCACTGTGTCCATGGAGGAGATGCCACCCCACACACATCCTTCATTTGAAGTCAGCAGTACCTGAGATCTGGGTGCCCCAGGGTGAAGCTGCTGTAGCCCAACGCAGTTAATGGCAAGACCCTATGCCGGCACTGAAGGAGGGCATGTTTACAGCACTCCTTGCATAAATACCCACTTCTAGGCATCCCAGAAAAAAAGCTTTGGCTAGCTATGACTTAGTGACCATATTTCACCAGTTGCACTGTTAAAGGTGGAGCTCTCACAGAAGACAAAAATGTGCTTAGCCATAAGGAGGATGGAGGCAGCCAGCCCCCTGTTCTTGCCCATGGTAAATTTGTGAGTACCAGAACTTTGCATCTGCACAGTTAGCTCCCTTTTCCACAGTTTACAACACTGCTGCTTTTTGTTAACTTGTTTCACCATAGCATTGACTACAGAATTGTAACTGAAGACATCTCTGCCTTTATATCTGTAGGTCTATTAACTTAGGGCAATTACTCTGCAGAGAGGTGACAATTCCTTCATGGAAGTTATTGAATTCTGGTACTGCAAACACTGCAAACAGTGCATCAATAATGAAAGGCCAGTAAGAGAGCACAACGTACCTGCATCGTTCAGAAATACAATTTTTTTTTTATGGACTATATCGTCTGACAGATAATTTAGGCCTGGAAATTAGACATCAATTTTTAATACTATTCAAATTTACTTTTCAAGGAAAATTAAAAACATGAGCTACTAATTACTGGCTTGACTGAACAGGAGGGAGATGGGGAAGAGGGGGTGAAAGGGAAGAAAATGAGGGTCACCAAGATGTCTCACTGGAGTTTGCCGACCTTTAGAAGAACTCCCAACTGATTAGTAAGCTTGAACATTGATAAATTGGATAATATTCACTCAACCCATTCTCATTTTTTATTTAGCAGAGAATTCCAGCTTTGTTCAGCAGTATGACTTCCTCTCTTTGCATATATGTAACACCAACTGCCTCTCCAAGGATCTGATTCAAGGTTTAGCTATTAGGTTATGTCTCAGTTCTTGGCTTTTTAGTCTGTTTCGTAATGTAGTGCACTGTTCTTCATGAACCTACAACAGCAGAAAGATCCTACAACACTCAGGTCAGGGTAGGCAACAAAAGGAAAGAGGTGCTTGTTTTCCACCTATACACCATTTTAGTTTTGATTAAGAACTGGGATTAAACACCAGTATTACACTGCCTTCAAGTAAGGATTGAGAAAAAAAAATTGGAGATAATTTTCCTTCCAGTTCTCATATCTAAATCTGATGTCAGTGGATGCACTGAACCAGATGAAGGGCAGGGACACTTGCCTTGCCCATAATTTATCTATCCATGGACCCAAAATAGGGATGCTTAAAACTGTTCTGTGGATACCTGCCCTTCTATCTACCAGCTCTGCTGCTTTCCTTCAGAGCTTTGTACCGCCTCTGACAGAGCCCGAGGATTCTGCCCTGGAAAAATGTTAGCTCTTTTCAAAAAAAGAAGTCTGGTCTTCATGCATTTCCTATGTCTATCTTATACCTATTCTTGAACGAAATTGAAGTGCAATTCTTAAACAGTAACACCTTCTGCTAAACCTTCTCTCAGAAACAGGCATGCAGCTGCCAGTGGAATCCACTGGAGATGTGCATCAGAGGGGAAAACATGACCTCCTGACAATTACTAGCAGGCAAGAAAACACTGTACAGAAAGCAGCTTCTTTTTCAAGGAATTAACACTCTTTAAAAATTTTGATTGCAGCCTGCTGGGAACTGGACAGCACAGTAAAACCCTTGAGTACCTGTTACTTATGGACTAGGTGAGGAAAAAGGTTTATTTGGTCTGAAAATCTTCATAGCTTTAATGGTCCAATGTAGACTATCAATTTGGGTGGTTTTGCATTTTTTTTCAGATTTTTAGTTTTTTAGTTTTGTTTGTATTATTTGCATTCAGTGGCCTAGCATCTTATGTATTCCCTGCTCCAAAAACATCCAGTACTCAGCAGACACTAGGGCTCAAGGGAATACCTACCAGATACATGCAGTTGCATGGCATTCCTTTGATCTCCGGCTGTACATGAAACACTGTGAAGTAGCATCTGTTTGCGGGAAAATAATTCTGTTTTGTAAAAAATGTATACATGGAAATCCCTTGTAAATTAATAATACACAGGGGTAGTAATGGAAGTTTTGCCTGTCCTGGTTGCATGACAATCTACTGAACTGGTAAGAGAGATGCTGACAAGAAGCAAGGCACTTTGAAAAGAACATGACTACTGGAGCAGTATTTAAAGGATGCTGTCATCTTGGGCAGTTCTTCCTCTCCTGTTGTGCTTCCACTGTTCATGATGCATTCCTTACAAATTCAGCATTTTCAGCCTGTAATTTGTAAGCACTGCTTTATTCTTTATTTCTCTCCCAGAATAACATAGCTTTGGTCACGTAGCCTCTTTTATTTATTGTCCCAACAGTACAGTAGTGAAAATAAGGTTTGCATATTGAAGTGATCCTCATGCATTAAGATACTTTACACAAACAACTAGAACAGCTGTGGAGCTTATAGAAAGACAAACCAACCCGGGGCAGCTGGAGAGAGGAGGAATCTGGAGAAGATCCCCTGTAAATCTGAACAGATGCAAGTCACACACAAATGGTCTGTACCCACTCTGAGTGACAGCATCCCCCTGGCACGGACAGTCTGATCTTTAGGCACGTGAATCGTTCTGTTCAATACACTGTAGTGGCTCAGATGTAGGAAGTTATTTAGGTATTTCCAGAAAAATAACAAAAGATAAGAAATGATAGGCATAAGGTTGCGCTGGGCAGAAACTCCCATATGTATAGGAGCTACACCAGCGATACTGGACCTGTATTGCCTAGCTGCCTAGGCGTGCTGGCAAAGAAGGAACAGTAACAACACACATGAAAATGACATCCCTGAAAAGGAAAGATGGCACAAACAGAAACTTAAGGTAAGAGAAATATTTATTTAAATTTGCACAATAACGAGCTTATACTGAACAAATTCAATCAAGAAATAATAGTAAGTGCAGTAAAACAAGGAAATATTGATGACTTTTCCCATCAGAAAACATTAAGAAGCCATGCCTGTGCATCACGGTTTTTCTTTTTTGGGGTTTTTTGGGTTTTTTCTTTTTTTTCGTTTTTACAATAACTTCTATCTTTTTTTTTTTTTCAGAGCACATACTGTACATATCACATCTTAGCTGCTAGGTTCTTTATTCCTGAAGGCTTCATCCTTTTACTTAAACATCTGCTAAATTCTGCAGTGAGCAATCAAACACATTTGTGCAGATCCAAATATAATTAGGTAAAAATCTCTGCATCTGGTCAAGTGTTGGACTCTCAAAGCTTCGGAAGACCCTGTAAGAGCTCCTAGTTGATTTTGGATCTTGACATCGTTATGTACAGCATTACAATGTGTCACTTTACACTAACCTAAATATTCTGCATAATGATGTCAGACAAATAGCCAGAAGATTTGAGCCTAGCCTCATACAAAGGTTTACATATCTGAGCTTGTCTTGAGTCCCATAAATTTCACTCTGATTCAGGTAGCTGAGTTCATCACATACCTGCACTTTAGATGGATAAAACCAATCTAATTTTAGTTTTAATTTTATACAATTTTTGGTCTAAAGGTCTTTTTTGTGAAGGAAAATTCTTTAACCAGAAACTGCTTGTGAGAGACGGTTGTTGGTGTCACAGTTCCTGAAGGCACTGTGGGTCCACTGAGCAACAGATGTGGCCATTCTAAAGGAAGGAAAAACAGAAAGAAGAATTGAAACAATTAGCATTTTGTACAAACCAAGTCAATTTAACAAGCTCAGCCATTTGCAAACACCCATCAGATTTGAATGTACAGATTTGTCAAATACAAGACATCTACAGGTTTTGATTGGATTCCTGACATTGTCGTCATGTCCTTCCCTTGTGGAAGGGAATGGTCTATTATGATTCCTCTAATTGCTTGGTTTGCTGTGGTCCGTATCCCAGAGCTACAACAGTCAAACTGAAAGAAGCTGGGATCAGTGGAAGAAATGCCCCCATCATAAAGGTATCAGGCATCTGCTCAAGCACACAAAGCTGGGTTTTATTTAGTCCTGAATGCTTCAAGTTAATGCATCCTGATTCTAACACCAGCAAACATTAATCCATAAAGTTTTTCCTGATAGTCCACACATTCTTCTGAGAATATTAGCAATTGAGGGAACAGATTGCCTATGGACATCATTAAAGTACTGGAGAAATTGTTTTCTGCATCTCTACTACTTCTTTTCTGAAGTCTGATTCTTACAATGCAAATAAAAAGTGCGTATTATGTTTAAATTACATTCAGTTAACTAAACTGCCAGGACTGATTAAAGACCAAGGTCTGAATCATTCAAACATTTTCTTTCACTCCTTCTGTTACAGGAGGTTAGACAATCCTACTGTCCACCTTCTTTGCTTGTGATTTGAAATGGTTTTGTGGCTAAGCCAGCTTTGGCTGATGCCCAGGTTTCTGAATTCTTAAAGGATTTATGTAAACCTATTTTGCTATAGCTTGCTTAGAGAGGCTTAGAGTGGAGCTTTGACCTTCCATGTGATGCTCCGCAAGAAAAGAGTGGGGTGACACAGGACAAATGAGATGGAGAGCTATACAAATTGGGCACAACATTAACCTGATCTGGAGGGAGTCAGCTGCTTGCATGCCGAATTACAACATTAAAATGTTGACAATATGGTCAGATAATGTCTTTCAAAAAGAGAACTGCTCTGTAAAGAGAATTGAGTAAGATATGGCTTCCTGAGGGACAAAGTGGTACATCTTCACTGTCATACAGATTCACACCTGAACCGTATTAAATCTATGGGGTTTGGCAGAGTACCTGTTTTAGTCTTATAGATGTCCACAATGCAGCAATGGACTTTATTAGTCTACGTATGGGTCTACACTGAATACAAATTAGTCAATGCTTAAGGTTCAGTCTTTGCTTAAGAGAAAAGGGCAGACGGGAGCAGCACATAGGTGGCCATCAGCAGAACTGATACATGGCTTCTGCATTGCCATCGATGAGCAGTACAACAATGAGAACTCATTTCCCACCACCAAATCTCAGAAGCGCTTTAGAGAAGAATCACACATAACTATTTGTTTTACAGATGGGGAAACCAAGGCACATAAACCTCAGCAACTTGCCCAAGCAAAAAGTAACTTCTAGCATTAGAGCTGGTGTACAGGTTTCTGCATGTAAGCCTGTTTCAACACCCTTTGGGCAGCATCCAGCTTTCTAACCATTAGCCACTCTTTCAGATCACATAATTTTCTTCTAACCACCAGCCTGTTCTGACATCAAGACAAATGCCTACGCTTACGCACCACATACCACTTCCCTCATAAAAGGACTATGCCTTGACAGCAGCAACTGCTGTTGCACATAGTCTTGCGTCAGGCAAAGTGGAGGAAGAAGATGGTGCTTGACAGCTGCTGCTACATGATCAGTAGCATCTCATCTCTCCCAGAAGGAGGTTAGATTATTTTTTATGAGCACCTTTTCAAAGTAGTTAATTGTACCATGTACTAGAGTTTGGGAAGTATCTTGCTTGGGAAGGACATAGAATAAAGACCAAAATCAGCTGTGAATTTCAGTAATAATTAAAGACCTATGGATGAATCCTGCTGTCTCTCCTTGGCCACTGTGGAAACATTCTTTGTCATTTTCAATATTGGATTGTGGAAAATACAATTCACCTTACAGGCTTATTTTGAATGGAAAAACTTATTTTAACCTCCTTTTCTTTTGCATCTTTAAAAAGAGATGCCAGAATTCACATAAGCCCATAGCCATTAATTTTTATTCTCAGACAATGAATTCCTTTGACTACAAAACCTATGAAATGTTCTAAACATTATGTTGATTCCACTATTAATTTTAAAGCAAGAAAGCTATGTAATCATATAGCTAGTCCTTTTATTCTCAAAACAATTACTATTCTCAAAAAGCAATTCAATCAGTTCTGATAACGCTATAGTATCACACAGAAAAAACTTCTTGTGTGAAGTCTAGTCTTACATACCTATTCATTACTGTATATGTTTCCAAGATAGCATGGAGCTATATGGTAAGAACTGCAATTGCACTTGAATTGAGCTATCCTGGTGGAAAAGCCAAGCTCACTAACTTGTCCACAGCACACTGCAGCACAGGCTGTTGTCCTGTTTCTGACTTGCCAGCACATTAAACCATCCTTCTAGCACATGCAAGAGGGAAGTTAACAAAGCTGAACACTTTTGTGTAATCTCCACTACTTTAAAGCAAGTGTAGGCACCACCTACCCACTGACCAGACTCAGTGCATTAATATTTATATGCCACAGAACAAGCTGGGAAAGAGGCATCTCAGCTTAGTTTTTATGCTCTTCACCTTGCACTGGCAGAGGGTGCACTCTGTGCCGTGCTTAATCCAAGAAGATCCAGTGAAGCGAATGACGTTGGTTTCATCCAGGCAGGTTTTAGTGATATCATTGCGAATGGTGTCCGCTTGGCAGGGGTCAGTGACACAGCGCGGGCAGCACTCATTCTCGGGGAGGACGCTGAATTCACAATCCACCTCCGGGCACGGCAAGGGCCAGCAGTCAACTTCGCCTTGCTGTTTACAAATATTACAAGAACAAGAGAAGATTATTAGCTCTTACTTTGTTTCATCACGCGTTTCTCTGACTCAGCACTGTGTTTCTTAACTGGCTAATTTCATCCATCTGGTCCTATTCAGAAGTCAGTGCAGAGAACACTGATATTCACTGCCTGTGGGAGATGCAGCAAGTTGGGTGCTTTTTTCTGCATGCTATTCAGGAAGTGTATTATTTTTAACTTATTTCAACACACTCTGCATCAAGTTGCAGCTGAAAATTCTCCATAAACATCATGCAACATGGATCTGTCCTTGTGAAGTCCTACTTCTGCAAGTGACATAAGCCATAACAGGGCTGTACTACAGAAGTGCTTCAAAAATCTCCTGTTTCACCTAGTTCTTACTTCTATTTGGACTGTTGGTTCACCATTTAAAGCCCTCAAATTCAGCTCTGGGCTAGGGTTTATCTTTGCCACACTTACAAATGCATTGGCTGAACTACAGGTGTCAAGCTACCAGCAGCCCAATGCAGCAGGGAACACCAGCACATTTTCAGTGAGAGGACCTCCACCAACTTACCATCCATTTGGGATGTTATAATCAGAATGCCTGATCATGCTTTCTGCACAATGGGTTCAGTACAGTACGGAAAGGTCAGAAGAGAGACTTGTGTTGGGCCAGAACATTCTCAGGGGAAGTTACTGTATGCCTGTACACAAATCTAAAACTGTCTAATTATTGACTTCAGTTACTAGAAGTTGGAGTCAGCTTCCCTTCAACTCTGGACAAGGGCCAAAGTTTCAGATCTATTGGTCAAAGAAAAGACTTCACAGAAGTCATTAATGCATGCTTCTTTTGGAGCAGGTCTATCTCTGATCTCCAGCTTACTCAGCTTATTTGAAAGACAGATTGAGTAGCCTCGATTTAAGGGGGGCAAGAAGAATAGTATTTGGCCCTAGGGAAGTTTATTCACAAAAACTGTATCTCAGGCTTTGAGAATGATGAGTTCAGTATCTCCAGAGCAAAAGCTGAAAAAAATTCCTAGGTATTTGCCATAGCTCCAAATTTACTCCTCTTGTTGCAGAAATTATTCTGAAGTTACTCTTTTACAACATTTTCATCTGGGTCAATTTTCCTCTTTTTGAATCACATGATGGTAAGAATGAAAGCAATCTTAAAACCAGACACTGATCTTGATATTTCAATTTATTTTTTGTGGTGATGGACAGTACAAGGAGTAGACAATAGGCTGTCAGTTAAAAAAAAATCCCTGACAACTGAAAGAAAGCAGGCTTTAGTTACAGAAGTAGCATCTTGAAAAAAAAGAAACATCTATTGAGATCCCAAACTGCAGGTTGTTTTGTTTTGTCTTTAAGACATTTAATGAAGCACCTGGGAATCTATTTCATTGGATTTTAGCAGCAGTAACACTGAAAGCACAATGCCTACAGAAATTGGTTTCTGGCTGTTATTCATGATACCCTGACAAGGGAAAGCTGCTAGTTGGACTAGGCTTTACATTCGGAGATAACCTGTGATAAAAGCTAGTTGTTTTTATCATGGGATTTTTTTCTGTCACAGAAACTTCGTGAGTGGCATTATGCAGAATAGTTTTTGCTCAGACTCTGAAACACATGCCTAGGAAAAAGATCACAAGCTTTAGAAGATTTTTTTTCAAAACTCATTTCACTATTTTGAAAAATGCATCAAGTCTTATTATTTTTCCTGTTACTTAGAATGTCTGAATGAATAAACAAATTTTAGTCTATTGGCATCTTTGAAATAATCAAATGTGATAATAAATACATATTTAGAATTTCCTTATACAGCTACGTTGGTCTTTGAATGAGTGAACACATGAGTGTTAGTGTGTACGTGCCATATCCAAATGACCTCCACTGTTTGCTATAAACAATCTTCATGAGTAAATAATTTCTGTTAGGTTTATTGTGGCAAAATGCATTTTTGACTGGAACTTGACAATACTGACAATATTCATGAAAACCAGATTTCAATTATATGCATACTCCAGAGGAAATTAAATGGACACTAATGTCTGAAAATTATTCACAGATCGGAATATCTCATATCCTTTTTCCCTCCTGTCTCTGCTGCTGTAATCAGGAGCCTTACCAAACAGCGACACTGCTGACAGTTCTGTATCCAGGAGTCACCGCTGTTGTAGGAAAGCTCCCCGCTCTGATGTAAACACTGACTGCTGAGCCTTGGGTCACATTCAGGACAGCAAAATAGGTCAACGGTGGGATTTTCACAGTCACAGACCATTCGCCGGCACATCACATATCCACTCTGTTGTTGAAAGACAGGCATAGAGCGATGGCAGAAATGTGACCGACTCCAGCAGTATTTGTACCAAAATTTTATTTTTTGGCATGATTCTAAGCCACTAGCAGCTTATGAGTTTTTCCACTGTACGATATCTTTGTCAAAATACAGTTCAAACAGAGGCAGAAACCACAATACAGACTCAGTAACTACCAAAATGTTCCCCTATTGTCTTATATACATCCTTCACACAGCCAACCTTCAGACAGCTCTCACCTAAGTTGATGGAACACAAGGGTGTCTTTCCCAAGGGTCAAATTTTAATGGATTGCACTGTTTATGTCATTCTCATATGAATGCTAGTTGAGTCTCGCTTTAAACTTCCAGATCAGCCCCTCTCCTCTGTAATTATTCACATAAGGAAGATGATAGGTAGTCTGAAATTAAATTAATGCCCATGAAACTTGAGCTGCTGAAATGCTCAGGACTTTGTCAGCAGCGTATTGGGCCTTCATTCTCCATCAGCATTTAGCTTGCGATCAAGGTTCCCACAGCAAACATTTGAGAAAGCTAAGCTGAATTACTCTGCAGATACAGAAGCTACTTCTATTTATAGCCATCTGCTAGAGATACTGGCATCAGTCACCAAAGCCAATATGTGTCTAGACAGACAGTTTCTTTGCATGAAAATGCCGTTACTCCCACCCCGGAAACACAGGTGGCATCTCTGCTAAGAAAATAGTACTATCGTCCTTCTCCCAGTACCATATATTAAACCTCCTGTGGAAGTTCTGCTCATGCAGATCGGCGAGAGAAGCTCTCCCCAAAACCATGTACGACACATAATTCCATTTTTCTGTAGTACCACACGCACACCTGAGAAGACAGCTAAACCAGAAATTTCACTTGAATCACGACACTCTTCCCTTCAGCCCTACCACCATCTTGCAGAAGCAGCTAGTTCTATTTCTACTCACCTGGCACGAGCAGACAGAGCATCTGTCATTCTCCAGCACCCAAATCTGACCATTGTGCTTGATTTTGTCTTCATGGATACAGTCTCCTGTGCAGTTCTTGCCATGGGGACATCGACAGTCGTACCCACCATCCAAATTAAAGCAAACAGTGTCATTGGCACAGCTATGCCTTCCAGTTCCACATTCATCAATGTCTGCAAAAACATGCCATGTAATGCTTTTAGACCACATTCAATTAACAAAAATGTTCTTGCGGCAGTCAATATAAATGATTCTTGGCCATTAAAGCCTTCAGCTGAAAATTAATTTGCACTTCACCAGAACAGGGAGAAATAACTTACAAGTTCACAAAAAATTTTTTTCAAGTCACATCAACTTTTAAAACATGATATTTTGAGTTTTCCTATACATCTTTCTAAGGGAATGCTATTGAGTAAGGTAGTTAGAATTAAGAAATCACAGAAAACATACAAACAAACAAAAATAATTTTCAGCTCCCTAAAGAGCATTAGTTTGTGGGAAGCGTTCATGAGATGTGCAGTTAAACAAGCAAAGCTGCAGAATCTTGTTTTCAAAACCTTTTGTTGGCTCTGTCTAGCACATTTGAGTTCACTTGCTGAGAAGTTAATGTGAAAGGTGACATCTGACCTGTAAGCTCATTTAAGCAAGCACACCATGCTTTAAGTTGCATCATTTATTAGGGTGTGCAAACTAGAATATTTTAATTATTCAAGTTGCAGTGACATCTATAGCCTTTGTGTCTAGTGTAGAAAATAAAGAAAAAAGATTAATGTATCCAGTGAATACAGGTAAATTTACTTCAAAACAATCATATCTCAAAGAATTCAAGAGGAGCTTTAAGGGCCTACTTCATCAAGGTACACACAATTACTTTGCAAGGGCAAACTAGCAGCACACACTGCCTCCTACTTGACTGGTCCTTATTTAGCTTTTTTAGCTGTCCATATGGAGAAAAGTTATCTGGGAAAAAAACTTTGAAAGGGCATGAAGTAAACAGCTATAAGCGATAAAAAGTGGAAAACACTGGAAGAGTTTAATTCTGCATACAATTTCCCAACAGTCTGGCCCAAGCTCTTAATTAGAGTTCATTAAAAAGTAGCATTGTGATATTTAACTGTCCAACAGATCGGTACAAGACAAACTAAGCAATATGCTCACGAATGTATCTTTCGCCATCAGCATAAAAACTTAATAAAGCAGTCAGCTTTGGGTTCAACAATGGAAATGAAACCTCCAGTTCACCTCAAGCACATTCAGTTTAAAGCAAAATAACTCAATTATCATTTCAATTCCAAGTGTGGCTGCAGTCAAAAAAAAAGTAAACAAGTTGCTAACATGAATATGAATTGGGATGAAAAACAGCAGGGAAATTATTAGAATTCCATTGTATAAATAAGCAGCATTGTGAGTTTCCTTCAAATACTGTGTGCAATAACAGCGGCACCATCTCAAGAAAAAGTATTGCAAAATTACTAGGGCTTCTGGGAAGGATGAGGAAAATGTCATTTGAGAAGAACTGAAAAGAAATGGATTGTTCATCTCTAAAAGAACATCAGCAAGAAGGGATAAAACAAAAAAAATAATGAATACTCCAGAGAAGACACGTTGAGAGCTTTTGTTCTCCATGTTGACTAACACACAAGACAGGGGACAGTGAATGAAACTGAAAGACAAGAAATTTAAGTCTGAAAAAAGGAAACAATTTTTCATATAATGCATAAACAAACCATGACACTCACTGTCACAGAGTGGTAAGGGAGAAAAAACCAGCATAGCCAAAAGTGTGTAAAACTAGCAAGAATATTCATAGAATCATAGAATGCTTTGGGTTGGAAGGGACCTTAAAAATCACCTAGTTCCATGCCCCTGCCACAGGCAGGGGTATCTTCCACTAGATCAGGATGCTCAAATTCAATTTGCAATGCTAACAGATTTTGGAAGAGAGATTACGTTTCATGCATTAGGGTCTATGGCGCCCTTATTTATGTATCAGATAATCCAGAACAGGCAAATCATGTCAGATCTCCACATCTTCTACCTCGCTATCTTCTGAAGCATCTGGAGTCAGCCACCGTTGCAATAGGGCAGAAGACAACTGGGATCATGAACCTAATTCAGTGTGGCTGTTCGCATGGCCCTGAGCAGCTGAAAGGTCACAGGCACATCAGACAGACATCCTAACAGTAAGGATACAGAATTTGCGGAACAGACAGCCCTGCAGAGGCTGTGCAATCTCCAGACTTGAAGTTTTTTAGACAAATAGCTAACAGGAGTGGTTTGAGTGGTGGTGGTATGGGCAGAGCAAAGGGATGGAAGAGCTGCTCTCTCCCTCTATTTTCTCTTACATCTGTACTGAAAGTAATACAATCTGGCAATTTAAAATTAAGATCTCCATATACTCAGTCTAACTGGTTTTAAGTTATGCAATAAAGAGAACAAATACAAATCCTATTTAAATATAATGATTCAGATTAACTGCAGGATTCTCTTTATCATTGAACTATTTTTTAATAAATGACTTTCCAATGCTTGTGTTCATTTGTTTAAAACACTCTTTTGTACAAAGCTTTCACATAGCTAGTGTCATAAATGAATAATATCGCTTCTCAACAACCAGGCTACTTAACTGAAAGTAGCCATATTTAATGAGACACTTGGACAAAGTTCAGCTATCATGTAAATAAGAACAGTTTCCTTTAAAAAACAAATGGTGACCCTATAAACACTAAGTCTGCATTTGACACTTACGTACAAGTGCATTTCACAATTTTCCCATGAGGAAAAGGCTTCTGTTGTTTGTTTTTCAACATGGTAACGGATAGTGCACTGATACTGAAAATAATTGATTGAGGTTTCATCATCGACTCTGGTAGTGAGTCAAGCTTATCAACATTGAGAACTTATGAAAAATCCAAACCTTGGTTTTTTTCAGTTATTTTGTTCATGAAAATAAATATTCTGGATAGGGCAATTTAAATATCCCTGGTCAAAGCAGGAGCTATTTAGGTTTTCATTCTAACCTGATCAGAAACAGCAGTATGTTTATAATGCAGCAAGAGAAACACAAACTTTGCATGCATGAAATTCTCATCTGCATTATTCATCCACATCAAACTTCAGGCATTATCTACAAAGAACTTGCACACAAATCATCCATACCAAGCAAAACTTTGTTCAGCTATTTCACTTTGGATTTATAATGGATGGTGAATTACATTACTGATACTTTGTTTACAGCCATAATCAGCTCTCCAAGTTCCATAACCATATGGACAGGGTACACTGGCCCCTCCGTTTTTTGTGTCTGAAAAAGGGAGAGGGGAGGATTACAGGTTGCATATTTCCAGTATATCCAGCCACAGAAGTATGTTATTATCTTTCCCATATTGTGTGGTGTTTTGTGTTTTTTTTAAAAAAAAACACTACAAAACAACAAACAACAAATAATTCACTTCAGGCTATTTACAACACACCACTTAGGAATCAAGCAGCTTGAATGTTATATTAGAACATTAAGTCTCAAAAGACTTGGAGGTTTGCCTCAGAAAAGAAAACAGAAACAAAGTGTAACTAGTTATCCAGTGCTAATCTGAGGACCAGTTCTTATTTATCTAATCTACACTAAAAATTGCAGCAGCTTTGATCTGGCATACTTTTAAGGATTTTCCTTTTCTTACCATCATCCCTGGGTACAACTTACATGTTGCAATGACAAAAGATCACCATGGATAAAGAAGTAGTGATACATGTTAAAGAAAACTAGGAGTTAATTGTATCACAAGTAATTTCATGCCTACATGGGAAAAATACTGGGCTAAAGCTATACAAAATGGTGACAGTATGATTAAGTGACTAAACTTCATTTGTAATATTTAACAGACTGCAAGGGCAGAAAACTCCAGAAATATGGGAATTTCAATTGCCCCACCAGGTTGTGACCCAAGGCTGTATTTAAGAGATTTACTGAACATTTCTTGGAACAGATAGTCAAAGAATCCCAAAGGGACAAAGCACCATCTGACTTGGCCCAGAGCAGTGTGCAGGCTCTGATTCAAAATATCTCTACTGAACAACTACCCTGTATTGGTTACCAACAGCGACCACAATGTACGCAATTTCAACACCCTTAAACGAATTTTAAAAGGCAGCAAAAAATCTCTGTGGTAGTGCTTTTATTTTAAAAGGGGGAATTATGTTAAAATGATGAAGTTTTAAAGATGAATTAAAACTAGCGGCCAAAAGGACAAAATGTTTTCAGATAGAAAGAAGACTGTTTAAAGATACTACATTATAGATTCAGAGTAAACATATACTATATTAATGAAAAAGACTTTAAAGGGGGGATACATTTCATATAATGTACTGTTTTTATTTGAAAACTTCATGAGCTCCTTTGTACAATACACGCTCTTAAAGGAACTATGTGCCATGGAATAAAAGAGGTCATTGCCTCACAGATTAATAGCAGGTTAATTAGTAAGTAATAAGAGGCAGGAAGAAATGGTCAGGCTTTCACAATGGAGAGTTGTCCCAGGGAAATTCCCCAAGAATCTGTGCCCAAGAACGTGTGCTGCCGAATATACTTAGTCATCTGGAGGAATGGATCAACAGCGAGATGAAAAAGGCTGTTTATAAGTACTAAAACCAAAAAACTGACAGTGAAATATAGAAGTATTTCATGATATTGACTGAGTAAACAATAATATGTCAGATGAGATTCAATTGTAAGGTGCATGGGGAAATACCCATTCAAAAATCAAATCAGTTTTTTAGATCTATTCTGGAAAAGATCTTGGAGCTACTGTGGGTAGCTCTAAATAATGACAACTCAATAATATTTTGGGCAAAAAACCACAGATACAATATTGATAATGACAGATGAGAAAACTCACAATAAACTCACAAGGAACGTGAACAAGGTGTAATTAGAAAATAACCTGTGTACACCTTGCTAGGTAGTGACAAAGGGCTCAGAGATGCATTCTGATATAGCTGGTGGAAAGTTGCACCTTTCCCTCCTCTGATGAGCTGTCCAGACTTATGTGCAGGATGTAATGCCCCAAAAGGTCTCCCTCAGACATGATTTCCTTCCAGAATCATTCTGATATCAGTTAGAGTGTCATCTATGTAAATAACAGATAAACATTTGTACCACTGAGAAATATGCTGTTGG